TAAGTCTTAGAAGAATTCTATCTAGTTTATTAAACATGCCAATCATTTATCCTGCCTTGGTTCTGAGATATGCAACACATACATTATGCACATGGAAATTTTATTAGCAGTAATGGTAAAATTAACTCCTCTGTATCCACTGCCATCTGGAAAATTAAAGACTTACTTATTTTTATTCGAAATAAAACTTACAGAGATTTACCAAGAGAAGGAGAGACAGAGAAAGTTCTTCCATCCACTGGTTCACTCCCTAAATGGCCACAATGGCTGAAACTGAGCCAACCTGAAGCCAGGATCCAGGAGTGTCTTCTGGGTCTCCTTCATGGGTGTAGGAGCCCAAGGCATTGGGCTGTCCTCTACTGCTTTCCCAGGCCATAGTCAGGGAGCTGGAAGGGAAATGGAGCAGTCAGGACATGAATTCACACCCATACAGGATTTGGGTATAGGAGATGCAGGATTAGTCAGTTGAGCCAATGTGCCAGTCCTCCAGCTAAACAATTAGACCTATTTTATTTAAAAATATATACATACACATATATACACATACATACATATCATGGGGGCCAGCATCATGGTACCAACATCTGTTTGGATGTTGGTTCAAGTCCCAGTTGCTCCATTTCCACATCCAGCTCCTTGCTAATGTGTTTCAGAAAGCAGCAGAGAATGACCCAAGTGCCTGAGCCCCTGCCACCCACATGGCAGACCTGAAAGAAGTTCCTGGCTCCTGGCTTCCACAGGGCCCAGCCCTGGCCATGGTAGCCAACGCATCCAAGATTTCTTGTGTCTCTGCATCTTCTCTCACTGTAAGTCCGCTTTACAAACAAATTGATAAATCAAAATAAAAGCTCAAATACATCTTTTGCCTTCTGGATTGAAGGCCGTCATTCCTAGGGGACATTTGGCCCTCTCTGAAGAAATTTTTGGTTGTTTCACTGGTGGTCCAGGAGAACAGGACAGTGCTACTGGCCTCTGTGGGTGGTGACCAGGGATGCACTTCAGCACAGTTCAGGGCACAGGGCAGGCCACACAAACAAGCACACCCCACTCCAAATGCAGACGGTGCCAAGGAGAGCTGACAAAATATCCTTTCCACAGTTAACTGAACGTTACTCTCTGGCTGCACCACACCAAAGATGTTTATTGAGTATTTGTGAAGTAAAGAAAAAACAAAATAGCCATTTCCCTCCTGAGCTGCAGAAGTCAGAGAGAGGAAGTCACATATAGCACACACACATAACGTACACACATTCACACTCTATGTCAATGTGATGTGTATGTTCTAAAGAACATAAATGAAGGGTAAAAGAGAGTAACCAGGAGGTGATTTAGATAAGCACAAAAGATCTTTCTGAGGAGGTTCTTTGCTTCTGGCAACAAATAACCGAGGCCCCGCTGGAAGCTGGCTTACACAGTGAGGAAATACAAGGTTCCCAGAGCTTATGTCCAGGGGTGGAGTGGGTCTCCGAACTGGTGTCCTCCCTCTGTGCCCGCTGTCATGTCCTTAGCTCCACCCCTGTGTGTCAGCTTCCTTGTTGCAATGAAAGTTCTGGAACTCACAACATCACACACCAGTGCCTGGGGGAAGAAGGTGGAGGGAGAGATATAGAGAAATAATCCTCACCTCCAGGTATCCTTAGCCTTAGTCTTTCACGTCACCCTGCTTGCCTAGGTCACGTGCCCATTTCTGAACTAATGACTGCAGCCAAAGAGAAATGGAATGTGTTGATTGGCAACCCAGTGACTATCCTCAGCGCTTGAGTTGGTATCAGATTAACAGATGGACAAAACCTGGGAAGGGTGACGTTCTTGCTGGATGGGCAATCAGAAACTCCCTTGGTGGCCTAGGGGTGTTGAGATTTACCCTGAGCCTTGAAAGATGAGAAGGCAGTAACCTATGTAACTTGAAGAACTTTCTAGGCAGTGGAACCAACAGATGCACACTAACAGAGGTGGAGGCCAGTGTGCCTTGCTGTTTCAGTGGGCAAGTGGTTTACACTGAATCTGGAGCGGCAGATTCATGGCTACCTTCCTATCATTGAGCTTTTGTTAGCTATATCTGTTGTGAAATAAGATGATCTTTTTCAGATTAGAGATTTAAACCCTTAGCTCATAATCCTGGCTCCTAGAAGACAGAATTAAGTCACCTCATTTTTACATGTACCTTTTAAAAAACATCTGTTCTCTGAACAATTTCTTCATACATTCCTATTTTTAGATGCTCCTTCTAATGTAACTTAAAATAAGAACAAAACAGAATTTTAGCAGAACCAGTTAACTTTTCAAGAATACATCTGAAGTTACTATGTGAGAAAATATAACCTCTTCAATAAGCAAATATGGAAAAAGGCTCAAAGGGACACGATTTCAGCTATTTGAGCATTCTGGGTGCTTGATGCACTGGTGGGACAGAGATGTCATACAAAGGATATCTTGATTTAGAATCATCCTTGTGCTACTGCTGCAGCTCCAGCACGTGGCAGCCTGTTGAATACAGAGACCACCACCGAAGCACGAGTCACACCAGAGCTGGAAGTCAGCTCTACTTCTTTATCTCCGCACCCAGTCCTTTCCTCACTGCCTCCTTTCTATCAGAGAAGCCAGCCCCAGCTTGTTTATCTGCTGGCTCTCGAATGGTGTTTGGGTCTGGGACTCTCTATATGTTGCCTCTTTGTTTTGATTGTTATTCTTCGAGGTGCTTCTTGTTCTCTGAACCAAATGGAGCAGAAACCAGTGTCATCCTGGTTTTGAGCAGAAAGCATCAACCCTCTTAAGTTCTATATTTAATCTCTGAATCCATAATTATGTAATAAGGATTTCTAGGGATTTTGTTTTTCTGGTGTAAATTTCATTCTCCAACTTCTGGACACTGTGACAGAAATAGTGTGTGTGATAAAAATGTAATAAATACAACATGTAATATAAATACAATAAAGCAATAAAATGACAAGAATTTTAATTAGCTAATAAATATGGCATTTCTGGTCTCACCCTTCCCGTATTCTGTTAAGCAGTTAAGGTGAGCTGACTAAATAAAAGGGGGCTGCAGCTTGACTGCACATACTAGCTGCTTCCTTTATATGCAAACCTTCCAAAATCCTAGCAAAAAGAGGGCATTATTCCCATTTCACAGTTGAGCAAGTTGAGGGCAAAAAGGAAGTTGCCGAGGATTTAGTGTGCAGGGAATATTGCAGAATGTTGACGTTCAGCCACCTACATGTGTTTTCATCGTGATGTAAACCTGGCGAGTTGGAACACAGGCAGGCTGGGGCGTCATCTCAAGGGCACAGGGCTAACAGATGCCTGAGGAGGATGGGCACTACCCAAGCCCATGGAGCCTGACTGCAGGAGGGCTCCTGTTCTTACAAGCTGTACATTACATAAAGCATCTTAGCTGGTGCCAGGATTTGATCCTGACCTAAATCTGTCTTGGCTCCACTCCTCTCAGCACAGCAGTTTCCTCATATAAAAATGTGGGAAGCCGACCAAATAATCTTAAAGTTTCTTTCTCTTCAAGACTGTTAGGGGGTCCAAGGACTTTGATGTAAGATTTTGAGATGCAAAATAAAACAGAGCAGAAAATCGATGGGGCGTGGTGGGTGTGGGACAAAGTTTTGGGGCTATCTGGTATGTGTGCTGCCAAAGCAAGCCCAGTTCTGGGGGTAGCTGATAGTCATGGCTGATTCTACTTTTCAAACTTTCGCGGCATTAACGAACATGCTGAGGGGTAGCAAGCTCAGAGGCACGCCAGACGTGCATATAATTTATGTGCAACAGAAATCCCAGCCGCTGGCGTGCTCCGGGTTAACCTACACGTCTTGCTGGACAAGGAGAAATTGCCAAACTCTTCCTGAGTCAGCTATCTGACTTTCGGTGACAATCCTTTATCCAAGTACGCATTTTGTTTTTCAAGTGTGCTCATTTCTAAGTGCCTGAAGTAAGGCAAACCCACAGATCCCAGTCTGATGAAAACCATCTCACAGCATCGGCAGCACAGCTCTTTTCGTGAAGGCAACGCTTCTCAGCCAAAGAAAGAAAAAGCTGGCTCCACTAGGAAGCATAAGCGGTCTAAGAGAACAGCAGGCTGGGAGGAGACCTGCTTCAAGCAATTTGGTCATGGTGAGCAAAGATGACGACACAGTCTTTCAGACGGTGTCACAACCGAAACCCGCTTTCCTTCGCAATAATGACAGAAACAAAACACTTCTGACATTTTGTTCCACAGAAGACTGCCCCCGGACGGAGGAACACAACTCCTACCAGGAACCAAGCAGTTCAAACGGGCGCTTTTTCCTGCCACGCAGGGTGCCAGTCTTCGGGGGGAGTGGAGGGGAAGGGCAACCTAGGCAATCATGGAGGCGAACTGAAAGCAAAAATAAGGCCAGTTGCCACAGAACGCGGCCCAAACCGCTGGAGAACTTGGCCTCTCCAGGGAGTCCCCAAGACAAAGCCCGGTCCCAGCACACCTTGCGGCCTGGACTGCAAATCCCAGCAGGCCAGGCGGGCACGACTCCCAGAACGACTACAATTCCCGACATGCTCTACTGACAGGTGGTCCGCCACCGTGATGACCTGGGGCTGGGGGTGTCTGAGAAAGTGGGTGTATCTCCACGCCTTACGTTTCCCTTAGGGTCCGGCAGCTCCCCTCAGTCGCCGACGAGGAGCGCTGCAAGTTCGGGAGACATTTCCCCATTGTCTGTGTTGCAGGAGGGCTAAGAGGTTCTTCCTAGGGCGGCCATGGGGAAAAGGAGGTCAGCTCGGCTCGCTGGCCAATGGCGCCCGAGCGGCTCTCCCGCTGCCATGGCAACGGCGGCCGTCCTCCCCCGGGGACCAGCCCCCCATTGGGTAGAATCTTTCGAGAAGGCTCGAGAAGAAGGAAGCGGAAGTGGCACGTGGAGGCGCCGGTGAGTAAATGCCGCAGATTCTGGAAAGTTCTGATCAGTGCGATACATAAGACTGAATTGGGCCCTCCCCTTTTGGGTCGGTCATTGAGCGCCGGCGCCGGTGCGTGCGAGCGGCCGCCGAGCCGGGCAGAGCTGCCTGAGTGGCCGAGCGTCCCGCGCAGGCCGAGCGCCGCTCTCTCCCGGGCGTACGGCCTTCTGCCGGCCGCCGCCGACCGCGGGCAAGCCGGAGGCTGAGCAGGGCCGCCGTCCGCGCGCCCTTCCGAGTGACAGAGCAGCGAGCGGTCTGTCCCCGCGGCCCGGAGCCGGCGGCCGATCGGAGGACGCAGAGCCAGAGCCGAGGCGGAGGACACGCGCGCGCGAGCCGGCCATGTCGGTGGTGGGGCTGGATCTGGGCTCGCAGAGCTGCTACATCGCGGTGGCCCGCGCGGGGGGCATCGAGACCATCGCCAACGAGTTCAGCGACCGATGCACCCCGTAAGTGCGTGGGGTGCATGGGGCTGGGGGCAGGGGAGGGAGGGCTGGAGGACGTGGGGACCCCGGCGGGCGGGCGGGCTGGCGGCGGCGTGGGGAGCCGCGGGGCCGGGGGAGCTGCGGGCTCGGCGCCGCCGACTGCAGGGAGAGGCGTCTGGACGCGTGCATGGGGGCAGGAGTGGGTCCCCGTGGCCGGGGGTCCCGAGGCTTTTCTCGGCGGGCTGCAGCCTGCGCCTTCCGCCGCCGCCCCCGGCTCCCCCCACCAGCTGCTGCTCGGAGCCGAGCTGGCTGAGCCGCCCCCAGCTTGTCGTCCCCCACTCCCGCCGCGCATCTCTTTGCGCACCGTGGAGCTTTTTTTTTTCTCTTCCGCATCGTGAATCTCGAACTGGAAGGTTCCAGAGCCTGTGTTCTGCCGTTTGTCCGGGGTGGAGGCCGATTGTTGTTAGCAACCGCGGAATGACCCATCTCTTGTCCCCAGCCTCTGGGTTGCTGAAGTGCTGCTGGGTTTCGTGCTCAGAAGCGTTTTGAAAGATGTACTAAACGCCCTGTCTTGGCTCAGGGAGAATTATTCGTGGGGAATCGCAGACTGAATTTTTATTATTAGTAGTAGTATTAATTTTGCGCTTTAACAGACAATAAGACTCCGGATTCTTTTGTGCAAGAATTCGTAGAACGGATGCGTGTCGAACCTGGGCTTGAGAGTCACGTTTTACAGCAGCGCAGTATTTTCTAAAGCAACTTTGGAGGGAGGTTATTTTTTCCGGGAATATGTGCAGGCATACCTTGCCCGCGCGCTGATGCAGTCAGTTATGTGTTTCTTAGGAAATTAGCTCTCAGTTTTCCCTCCCCAAACGCCTTCAGCACAAGATGAAAAAGGTGGAATGAAACCCAAAATTACAAACACCTGCCTTTGTTTTTTGTGTACAGATAAGTATGTATGAAAATGAATGGGGAAAAAAAATTGGAGAACAGGAGCGTTGGGCTGACAGCGCTGGGCAGGTGGGCGAGGCTGCGGGTCCCTGGGCGCGCCCTGGGGCTACCCACGCGCATCCGCGGCGCTCCCCGCGGTGCCAGAGGCCTCCGCGGCTAGGTGCACTTGCGTCTTTGTTTTCTTTGATCCAACAGAGGAAAGGAAAGCCGTCTAAAGGGGCGTGGGGGTGGGGATCTGAGGTGTGGTGCTGCCGGCGCTGCAGCCGGTGGACCTGAAGGCACAACAGGTATGGGCCGCATGGTGCACGCCGAAGGCAGCAGCGGGGGAAGCTGAAGGATTGACGTCATGACGCTGGTGTCAGCTCATTTGCATTTAATTATTTTGGTTCTTTCCTGAGAGAATGAGTAGAACATTTGGCCAATGCATAACTGTTTAGCATTATACTCAGTTTTGGGGAGGTACTTTAAAGCTGTAGTTTCTGGAACACTTCCCTGGCTTTTAGGAGGCTGTTGAGCATCTGCTTAGGCAATTTAGACCCAGGATGGTTCAGTTACAGCATGTTTAAACTTTATTCAGCCTGTTACTTAATCCCTCTGTTCCCATTTCGCTCATCTCATGTACCTGGGTAGGAGTAACTAATCCAGAATTAGATTACTCTGATGCAGAGCCGCCCCCTCACAAGACTCAGCTGTGCTGTTCCGGTAGGGGCTTGGCCAGGGCCGGCGCCAGCGCCTCTGCTGCAGTTCCCACTGCCCTGCTCTGCCTTCCCTCGAAGTCGGTGTCCTATTCTTGGTTGTTGGGATCATGCTGTTCGTTTTTGTCAAATAGAGTCTTCCAGTTAGGTACCTCTTTTAATCTTTATGCCCTAGAGACGTAATTAAGCTACGCCCGCAGGGTTTACACAGCAAGTGCTGATTCCCAAGAGGCAGTGAGCAGGCGACTTGCAGATCCTGAGGACATTGAGGTTTGCACGAAGTGGGAGACAGTGTGCATAGGGTCAAGTGTCCCAAAGCCTCTTTAGGATTAATGTCCACTTTCTAATAATTGGAGCCTGCCCAAATACTGGAGTGTTTGACATCTTAGAAAGTCTTGAGCCCTAGGCAGATGCTGGGGGGGGGGGGGTCACGCTGTGGTGCAGATTGGGTTTTCGAAACAACAGTTAGGGACCCTCTTCTGAATGAAGCAAAGGATTGGCTGATGCTCTACACCTGCGCCCTACCACCACGGATAGATTTACCTTGGGATTTTATGGGGTTTTAATATGTCCGCATTGACACTTGCCAGGATTTTTGAAGCATCTGGTTTGTGCTTCTTCCAGATCAGTCATATCGTTTGGGTCAAAAAACAGAACAATTGGAGTTGCAGCTAAAAATCAGGTAAGTTGGCATTCTGAACACTTTCAGGGAGAAGTTGTTTTCTCTTTTTTTTAAAAGATTTACAGAGAGAGGGCCTGATGCGGTAGCCTGAAGTCCTCACACTAGCATCTACAGGAAGGTTTTTGATTCCTGGTTTCACCACTCCAGTGGTACATTTTTATTTTAGCAGCATGGTTGTTAACTTCACGTTGATGAAACTTACTATTTTCACCCCATGTGGACCTTGCTCACTGGTTCTGTAAGTTAGGGGTATTTAATGGAAGCGTAGCAGGGACTGATGTGTTCTGATAGTGTCCACGTCTGCACTATTGGGAAGCAGCTCCACCGCAGCTCAATGGGCTATGACTGTTCATGAAGGACATCCATTGTAAAAGTAGAGGGGAAATCAGTGGAGGGGCGAGAAGGGGAGGGATCTTGGGGAAGGACACAGGCAACCCCAGAACTGATAGAACTGTATCATAAAACAAAATAGAATATGTTTAAAAAAAGAAAAAAAGGATTTACAGAGAGAGGGCCTGATGCAGTAGCCTAGTGGCTAAAGTCCTCGCTTTGCATGGGTCGGGATCCCCAATGGATGCCCGTTCATGTCCTAGTGGCCCTGCTTCCCATCCAGCTCCCTGCGTGTGGCCTGGTAGGGCAGTCAAGGACAGCCCAAAGCCTTGGGAGCCTGCACCTGCTTGGGAGACCCGGAGGAAGCTCCCTGGGGAGTGAATCAGTGGACAGAAGATCTTCCTTGCTCTCTCTCCTCTCTGACTTTCCAATAAAAATAAATAAATCTTTAAAAGAAAAAAAAGATTACAGAGAGAAGGAAAGACAGCAAAAGATCTTCCATCAGCTGGTTTGCTCGTAAAGTGGCTGCAGCAGCCAGAGCTGAGCATGAGTTTCTTCTGGGTCTCCCCCTCAGGTGCAGGGTCCCAAGGCTTTGCTTTCCCAGGCCACAAGCAGGGAGTTGGATGGGAAGTGAGGCTGCTAGGACATGAACCGGTGCCATATGGGGAGCCTGGCACATGCAAGGCGAAGACTTTAGCTACCAGGCTACTGTGCCGGGCCCAGGCAGGAAGTTTTAAAAGTAATAATCTCACAGAGACAGTGTGCGGTAAACATCAAAGCTTAGGCTTTTGCATTTTTTGAAGGTAATTCATATTTATGAATCCTCAGATTATTTTTCCTCTTACTAACTTTGCGTGCTAGTCTTCACTTTTGGTTAAGTTGCAGACTTTTATTTTTTCAAAAATTACATACCAGACGTTTGAGGTTTTTCATGATACTTAAGGGTTAAGAGCCATTTTCTGGAAGGGACTTCTAAGGATCTGTGTTTAAAAGCATCTTAGGTTTCTTAGTAATGAAGGCGAGACTGGGAGGACCACTCAGCCCTGTGCTGTTTAGTGGTGATACTCGTTTGCTGCCTGGAGCTGTTGGAACACTTGAATTGTGGCTGCTGGGAGTTGAAATGTGATGAAAATAGTTCTATGGCAGGTTAAAGACCTTGCATGAAATTAAAAAGCGAAAGTATTTTGGTAGTTATTTTTTGTTGATAGCATGTTGAATATTGGGCTAAATTATTGAAATTATCTTACCTTTATTTTTAATGTAGCTACTAGAAAGCCTAATATGTAGTTTCTGTTTATAGCTGAAATGGTTCTGTTGAGCAGGACTGATCTAGAATCTTTGGGAGTTTGGAGGAAAATAGTAAGGGATTTTCTTAAAGTGTTAAGAAAGAAAACAAAATAATTCTTTAAGATAGTGATAGCAGAAACGTAGTAAAACCTTCATAGATTTTAGCTGTATGGGATTGGTTGCGCTGGAACAGGTACACACACAGTAATAAAGGGAAAAACCGAAAAATGGTTAGGTGCATAGCCTGAGCGAAGTGTTCAGAAAGGAGAGGGTGGCAAGCGGAGGAGTTGCCGCTTACCTGGTCCCACCTACAGTATTGATAGACCAGACCTAAAACTTCATGGCATCTTCTCATTACTTTGTAAGGAGGCTCAGATTTGGCCTGTAGGCTGCCGCACCCAGTTTGTCTTAGTTCTAGAATCATGAGTAATTTAAGATACGAAGGTACTTAACTTACATGGTTTGAGAATTACTACTGCTGAGTTGTTACTGTAGTTTTAGTAATTTTTAAAAAATATTTGGAAGAGAGACAGATGCTCATCTGCCCTTTCACTCCCAGGAGGCTGCCATGGCCATGACTGAGCTAAGCAAAGGCCAGGAGCTTCCCCTAGGTCTCCCACATAGGTAGCAGGGACCCACATGTCTGGGCTATCCTCCACTGCTTTTCCCTTGTGGATTGGACGTGGAGGGAATGGGACATGAACTGGTACCCATATGGGATTCGGGTAACACAGGCAGTGGCTTTACTTGCTGTACCACAATGCTGGCCCTGTAAGCTGTATTGAAGTATTCAAGTAGTTGGGGCTGTCACAATGACTCAGCTCTCTAGTCCTCTACCACCAAATGTCAACATCGCACGTGGGTGTGGGTTCATGTCCCAGCTGCTCCGCTTCCAGTACATCTCCCTGCCTATGGCCTGGGAAAGCTGCGGAGGACGGCTCAAGTCCTGGGGACCCTGCGCCTGTGTGGGAGAACCCGCAGGAGCTCTGGCTGCTGGCTTCAGCTTGGCTCAGCTTTGGCTGTTGGAGCCATTTGGGGAGTGAATCAGTGGATATAAGTTTTTTTTTCTCTGCCTCTCCTTCTCTTTGTAAATATACAGAAAGTAAATAATCTTAAAATATAATTAGAAAAATACATTATTTTCAAGCTAATAACTTTAAAACTCAAAGTTTTCCATGTTTTATCTCACTTAAATGAAGTTCTCATATTTTTCAACTATGCTGTAATGTGGAACTTCGGGATGCAGAGTTTACATGTAATATTTGACCAAAGTGATGACGTAAGAAAATACATTTCTTACAGTTGTCTGCCATATTTCCTTCTAGATTTCGTTTTCTACCAGGCACTCTTCCCTAACCTAATGTATTTATCTGAGAGCTGACTGTCCATATCAGAAACTAAATCTAGCTAAAAGTAGCTGAGCAAAGGCCTTAAGCATACTTTATATTTGAGAAACATGCAGCAGTCATGCAATTGTTAACTTGAAAAAAACCCATGTCTTTTAAAAATTACTCACTTTACAATATGTTGTCATTTAGAATGTTTTGAAGTCTTGCCTCTTTTAACGCCTTAAAAAATCTTTAACTATACTGTTTTTAGTTCTATTCATTTTCCACTGCTAGGTGTTTAATTTTAGTGAGAGAAGAAAAATCTTTAACTATACTGTTTTTAGTTCTATTCATTTTCCACTGCTAGGTGTTTAATTTTAGTGAGAGAAGAAATAAAATGAAGTGGTAGTTCTTGGTTTGTTTAGAGTTTTAGTGATTGGTTTCAGCATTTTAAATTTATCTCACAGATTTTGAAATCTTTTAAATTCTGTGGTGACATGCTTCCCCTTTGTTATCTCTCACTGAAGTTCTTTAGGTATAGGAGAAGAAAGTCTAAGATCTATTTGTAAGAAATTTAGGTTCTGGGGAAATTTGTGTACATTGCTGGAGTAATGATCTTTGAGTTGTGCAAATGACTGAGTGGTGGTGTTAAGGGCTGAAATTAAGAAGTTTCAGTGTCCAACTTCCTTTGCAGCAAATCACTCATGCAAACAATACAGTGTCAAACTTCAAGAGATTTCACGGTCGTGCATTCAATGACCCCTATATTCAGAAGGAGAAGGAAAACCTAAGCTATGATCTGGTTCCAATGAAAAATGGCGGCGTCGGAATAAAGGTAATAGAGCTTAACAACCTTAGGCTCCTTAGTCACCAACTATTTCATTCAGTTATGGAGAAGTGCTAGCTTTTTAATAAATAGGTCAAATTTCTTAAATTGACCAGGTGTGTTCCCCCCCCCCCCCCCCGCCAAATTCCTCTTAAAGTGTGATAGATACATAGTCTTTTGAGAGAATTATTGCAGTGGTAATCTCTTCTGGTATATCTGAATTTTTGTCTCTGACTTCTTGTACAGTGGTGTGGAGCAGTGATGTTCCCAGGCAGAGTCTGACCAGGACAGGCCAGTTGGAGCTGCTCTTGCAAGCAGTGGTGTGTGTAATACAACCAGAAAGCTTTTTTTAACCAGCGGAGGCATTCCTGTCCTGTGATCCACACAATAATATTTATTTCAGTGATTCATCGCTTCTGTTAGAATGGAAAGTTACTACTTCCTATAATGTTTTGACTAGGAGTTTGAATCGGAGGGAGCTCCACCTTAGCTTTTTTTCTCTGTCCTCTGCTCTGTAGAAAAAAACTTCATTTCCTTATTCCTTTATGTCACTCTGATTTTTGAAACAAAAGATTTGTGGAAGAGACTGCTACAATTTGGAAGTTAGTATTAACATGTATTACATGTATTCCAGTGTTCAAAATGTTTTTTCCCTCCTCAAAATAGGTGATGTACATGGATGAAGAGCATCTGTTTAGTGTGGAGCAGATAACAGCCATGTTATTGACCAAGTTAAAGGAAACTGCTGAAAACAATCTCAAGAAACCAGTAACAGATTGTGTTATCTCAGTAAGTAGAATTTAGCAAGACAGTATGTTTTATTTGAATCACCTTCTTTATGTTACTCTTAAGTATGAAATGTGTGAAAGCTGCTCTGTTGCTGGAGATCAAAATTCTGCTGGTTTATATTAGCATAGTATTCCCGAGCATTTCACATGAGGTTTAAGCAATATTTTTTTTGCCAGAAGCTGTGAAGGTATTTTTTTTTCTTCCGAGAATTTCCTTGAAAAGCGATGTTACAGAGAGAGGGATGGAGATAGAGATACATTCTACCACGGCGGTCACAGATGGCTGCAGTGGCAGGGCCTGGCCGGTCTGAAGCTGGGACTTTCTTCCCAGTCTCCTGTATGGGCGCAGAAGCCCAAGCATGGCTTACCCAGTACTGCTTTCCCAGCACATTAGCAAGGAGCTGGATCAAAGTGGAGCAGCTGGGACTTGAACCACTGGTGGCCTTACCTACTACACTGCAGGCCACAGTGCTGGCGCCACTGAAGATTCTTACCTGATGGTGTGGATCCCAGTCTCCCCTGGGGCTCTTTGAAAATACAGGTGGGCTGATGTCATCTGTGGGTGGGTTGTTGGCATCATCCAATAGCTTGAGTACTTGTCACGCGGACCTTTCATAGATAAAGGCAGTCCACCTTGATTGAGATCCAGTGCACTAGGAATTACAAAATAAGGCCTGTTTGTCACAGAATTACATTTTTTTGTACTGACCGTCTCACTGTCTTTGGTGGGTAATCACTAATTAGATTATCGAGGATCAAGGAAGGAGAGCCTGGACTGGACACATGTTAAATTCTGCTTTCCCACATGTCTGGCTGCTCTGCTGTGGTTGTGTTCTGTAGGAGAGTTAGTAATGGACTTACCTGCAGCACAGTCTCTGGCTACAGCATAAGCAGTGTGACCTGCCAAGACCAGTAAGAAGTCTGCGTGACAGATTCTGGAAGATAGATGAGACCAAAGGGCTGAAACCCTTCTGTTTCTTTACAAACCACAAAATGTTCTACCAAAGCAATATCTAAGTCATAAGTCGATGGATGCCCCCCAACCAGCCACCATCTCCCTCATTTTCATTTCCCCCAAAACTCCTCACACTCCCCCCCCCATAATGTAATAATGACAATCTGATTTGGACCATCAGGGATCCGTATTTGCTCTTGGCCTCCCCCGCCCCGTCTGATTCTGTTCATACGATGGGCAGAGAGAATGATGGGGAGCAGAAACAGATCTGTTACCCACAGATTGACTTCCCAAATGTCTGCAGTAGGTAGTACGCTGAAGCCAGGCGCTGCAGCCTGGTCTCCCACATGCATGACACACACCTAGGCACTGTAGTCATCTTTTGCTTGCTCAAGTACAATTAGCTGGGGGCTGGATTGAAGCGGAGCAGCTAGTATTTGAACCAGCATTCCAATATAGGATGGCATCTATGCAGATGTTGGCTTAACCGGCTGTGCCATAATGCCAGCAGTAGCCCCTATCTCTTTTTCACTTTTTCCAATTTTATTATATTTTTGACAATCTTTGCATAGTTAATTGGGGTAAAAAGGTTCAAGGGCTACAGGAAAATGGGTAAGACTATTATTTCCATAATGTTTCCTTCATATATCTGAGGTAAAAGGGGGATTTTAAGGAAGAAGCCCCACCCCGTCTCCCACCCACCCCTGGTCCCTGATGTGGGGCATGCCCCGAGGGTTTTCCTCAAGTGGTTCTCATAGTTCAACAGTTATGAATTGCTGCCAGACTCTCCACTCCCAGCACGATGAAGTCGTTGAAGAATCCATTGATTGACATAGTCCATCTTAGAGTCTCCATTTGCCCAGTTTTTCACTGCCAACATATGGCTGGGGTAGTTGATTGACTTGTTCTGTCCTCTGTCTTTTCATGGTTAGGGTTCTGAGTCCGGCAGTTCAATTGGGGACATCCCCAAAGAAACTTTGTCTGAGGTGTTCCCAGACCAGATTCTTGTGTGTACCCTCAAGTACAGGGCCCGGCATAGTCCACCGCCCCAATCAGCTGGTGGTTGCAATTGCTGGGTCGGTTTTGTTTCCAGCCCTGTCTTCCACTGGTACCAATGGGTGTAGCAGCCTAGCCTGATTCTGCCCAGCACACACTTGGCCCTCGCACAAACCAGTGGGAGCTGCAGCCTGGTCGGAGCAACCCACAATAACTCCCACCAGGCCCACCCCCTGCCCTGGTTAGCCATTATGTGTAGCAGATGAATCCAGTCTGCCCCACATCCCATTCAACTTTCATACATGTCAGTGGGTATTAAAGCCTAGTTCCATCTAACCAGCTCAACTATCCAGCCCTCATGAATGTTGTTGGGTGTCTCTCTGCCTAGCCACCCCTGCCCCTGTCCTGGTTTTCCTGCCCTCCTGTGGGCAGGAAAGGGAGGAAACCACTATTTCCCCTCCCACTCCCGGATTAGGCACTCTCCAGGTGGTTCTGTGGTTTATCTTGACAGAATTAGCCCCCAGTGCCAGCTTCTGCCAGCTGATGTTGCGGCTATGCCCAACCATCCCTCATCCACTCCAGTTTCTGTTTGCACCAGTCAAACAGTCAGCCCAGCCTGGCTTTTCCCTGATCTAGTTCACATGAGGTCCACAGGTGTTGCAGCCCTGCCTGGCCTGGTCTGCCCCCATGCCAACCCAGCCTCTCCAGTGGGAGTGGCTGCCCAGCAGAGGAGCCCACTTCCCCCTGCCGGCTCTGCCCCCTCCCTTCCTGGTTCTCATGCGTGTTGGTTGGGCACTGCAGTCACATCCGGTGCAGGTAACCTCACCTTGGCATTCTGTATTGTGCACTGGTTTTTGTTGTGACTGAACCTGGCTTGACCCACACTCTGTTCTAGTGCTCAGATTCACCAGTGGATGACATTAACTGATTCAGCCTGGTCTGCCCCCCGACCCATGCCAAATGTATGCCAGTGGGAAACTTTCCATGGCCTGTGCTGGGCTGTTTCCTATCATGCTTCTTGTGCTTACCTGCTGGGTCTGTGTCCTGCCAGAGTTGCCCAGGCTCCTCCATCAGAACTTCTCTTAATGCACGGGGTCCATGAGCCAGCCCTATTCAGTTCACCTCCTGTCTTAGTAGGAACAGTGGCTTTTGCTGACTGGCCTTCAACCCAATCTGGTTCTTACTGTTGGATGTTTCAGCCCAGCCACGGCTCACACATAAGCACATACAGCACACACATGGTAGCCCCTATCTCTTTCTGAAGCACTTACAGTATTTGGAAGAAAATTTCCAAGTCAGTAAGTTTCATCTTAAGTGATTCTGTGAATGTGGTGATATTTTATTTTCCCTAAAAGAATAGGCTACGGAACTGGTGTTGTGGTGTAGCAAGTTACACTGCTGCCTGTAATGCTGGCTTCCAATATGGTGCTGATTCATGTGTAGGCTGCTGTGCTTCTGATCCAGGTCCCTGCTAATGTGCGTGCAAAAGCAGTGGAAGATAGCTCAGATGCTTGGGGTCCCTTCATGGGAGAACCAAAAGCAGCTCCTGGCTTTAGCACATGCTGGTCTTAGGTCTTTTGGCCACTTTTTGAGAAAGATCTCTGTCTCTCCCTCAATATTCTCTGAAACTCTACCCTTCACTTAAATGGATAAATCTTAAAAAAACAAGCAAGCAATCAGAAAAACAAACTTGAAGTGCTTCACAGTGAGAAACACAAGTACTCTTCTGTCTTTTAGGAAGCTCAACAAACTGGCAAAAAAGAATTTTTTAATTTAATTTTATTGAAAAGTTAGGTTTACAGAAAGAAAGGTCTTCCATCTGCCAATTCACGCCCCAAGTGGCTGCAATGGCCAGAGCTAAGCTGATCCAAAGCCAGGAGCTTCTTCTGGGTCTTCATGTGTGTGCAGGGTCCCAAGGCTTTGGTCTGTCCTCTACTGTTTTCCCAGGCCACAAGCAGGGACCTGGAAGGGAAGTGGAGCAGCTAGGATACAAACCAGTGCCCATATGGGATCCTGGCACATGCAAGGCAGGAACTTTAGCCATTTAGGCTACTGTGCTGAGCCCAGAAATTTAAGATTAATCTGGAAGCAATATTTATTCGTTTAGATTCAGAGTTTCCTATTACAGTCAAGTAGCTTTAATATTCGGAATATTCCTAGTTAATTTTTATTTCATATTAAAATTTGGCTTTAATAAAGACTAATAATTTAGCAACAGTCTTTAAAAGTAGTTAATGTTTCTGAAAGTTGAGTGGTTTTTTAGGAATGAAGTTGTAAGTTCTGAGTTGGTTAGGCACCTACTTAGCTAGACTCTTTCAAATTTATTCACTTTTGATATTGGTTACATGATGGAGGGTTGCATACCCATATGGACCTCTGATTAGGGTGGGGAGGGTTGTGGTGTGGAGGAAGGTGGGGGAGATAAATATTGCAGCTCTGTGGGGGAGTAAGGGGAGATGGCCACTCCTTGCTGTCAGGCTACATCAGCACCTGGGCATGGGGACAGCCATTTGATGATCTGTTAGACCTTAGTGTGGGAAGAGTGTACTGAGGGTGTTACTTGAGTGGTTGTAGTAGTTCCTAGACATTGTCAATTCTATTGCACCAAAATTGAGAAGATCTTTCCAAGATGTGTTGGCCGACCAGGTCTACCTAAGTGTATCTACAGTGGTCCAACCTTTTCTGCTTTCCATCCTCTGATGAGGCACTTGGTGTCCTCTGCTGGCCGAGATTAGCTGGCTTGTCCCCTGTGTGCATCTGGGGCTGCTCTCCACTGTACAGGCATCAGCAGCTGGGGAGGCCAGACCTGATACATACACTCCAAGGTTGGAACCGCATTATCTTGTGCTTTTCCCTAAGGACGGGGTTTGGGTTTAGTGACTTAGTTTAGGAGTGCTGCAAGAAACCTTGCGTGTGGAGTCCTCAGACTTGACTCTTGTATGCACCAATTAGTGCAGGCTCAAGTGTGGTCCATTTGCCTCACCAGCCAGTGCACATACCAGTGGATGCAGCTGTCTGGTCAGTCCTGCCTCCAGCCTCATTTCCTGCAAATGGGCAGGTGCTGCAGCCTAGCGCATTCTAACCTGTCCCAGGCTCAGCTCTTGTGCACTGGTGGCTGCTGTGGTGACCCTGAAGAATGTCCACCACGCCTGCTCCAACCGTGGTTTTTGCTTAGGCTGAAGCTTGCTACCTAGCCAAGCCACCCTGCTCGCAGCCCCGGTGCTTAGGTGAACCAGTGTCTGTCCTGCTGCATTGTTAAGGATTCACTACAAGTGATTTGTGAAGAATTTGTATTTTTGTGTTGTAATTCAGTTGAAATCGTTCTCAATATTTGCGTGTGTAGGTTCCGTCCTTCTTCACGGATGCAGAGAGGCGATCTGTGTTAGATGCTGCACAGATTGTTGGTTTAAACTGCTTGAGACTTATGAACGACATGACAGCTGGTAAGAACAAAAATGCACTGTTGAACTGGAATTTGAACACTCTGCATGCTCTGATCAAACCTGTCTGGTTGTATATGTACCCAGAGAGCTTACTAAGAAAGCACTAGATCTGAAAGCAAAAGGCCCGCCTCTTTATACTTGTGTTTAGTGAGAAATTGGTACTTTGTGAAGTTGGTGAATCTATTTTCTTTCAGAAAGCCTGAATGAATCTCTTTTTTGACTCTGGGATTAATTAGTTTGGATTTAATGTTTCTTATGTTGCTTTTCTAGTCAAGAAATAAGTTTTCTAGTCTACATATCTAGGTATCACAACTACCTTGGGGGAAATGTATTAATTTAAATTTACTTTTCCTCGTATTTCCTGGACTGTAGTTAGTGATTATAGATACTCTGTATATGTTGGTGAATAAAACATTTGTCATCTAGAATTTTAATTAAGACTACAGATGAATTAAAATGAAAATAATTTCATTTTTGTGCTATACTTTTTTCCCAGCCCATTTCTGATTGGTTTTTGAAAAAATAGGTGTCAATAAAGGAGTCTTCTCATGTATCCACATTTTAAAACAATTTTTTGCGGGGGTGGGGGGTGGAATAAAAGACTGTAAGGCCCAGCTCTAAAAGAAAGTGAGGAACTGCAATTACTGTGTATTAAATTCGTCATTATTTTGGATAAGCAGTCTACTAGCAGGTTGTAGTTAATATGTCAGCATTGTGTCGTGTGGCCGCATTACCTTGAGTTCATACCCCATGTTTGTCTGTCATATCTCCATGTATTGTAAAGCAATAGGATATTCTTTCAAAATTACAGAATATATAACTCCAAGAAAATCAGTGTAGAGTCAGATGTAAAAGAAATGTGTTCACCTTTGTTTCGAGTGTAGTCGGGTTTCCTGCAGGTATAATGACGTGTAACAATGAAGCTCCTCAGAAAATGTGAACCAAAGAGTTGAAATATATTTATTTTTTGTAGTTGCTTTGAATTACGGGATTTATAAGCAGGACCTCCCAAGCCTGGATGAGAAGCCTCGGATAGTGGTGTTTGTTGATATGGGCCACTCCGCTTTCCAGGTGTCTGCCTGTGCTTTTAACAAGGGCAAACTGAAGGTAAAGTCTGTGCTGGAACTAAGTGACCAAAACTTACCAGTGCATTTGTTACGCTGTTGAGCTACTAATCCTCTTAACTAGGCTTGCTTTTGGTAATGAAGTTTAGATAAAGGTATTAACAGGGAGTTGTTGCTGGAAGTGATATACATAAAGGTGACATAATTGTCTTGCAAACTCCCTAGTTAGGAAAGAAAAAACATTTTTAAAGTCTTCTATACTGTCATGAAAAGCTTATAATGGTGTAGCATTCCATTTGATTTTATAAACGTGTGTCCTTGTTTACTTAAATTTCATGTAAAATAGGTGTTTTAAAACTTTTAAGTTGTTTAAGAGCAATGTTTATGATTCTCACTAGAAATATGATTGTAAATAACATAGTTATTACGTTAATTTTTATTAGGTACTGGGCACAGCTTTTGATCCTTTCTTGGGAGGAAAAAACTTTGATGAAAAGTTAGTGGAACATTTTTGTGCAGAATTTAAAGCTAAGTACAAGTTGGATGCAAAATCCAAAATTCGGGCACTCCTTCGTCTGTATCAAGAGTGTGAAAAATTGAAGAAACTAATGAGCTCTAATAGCACAGACATACCACTAAATATTGAGTGTTTCATGAATGACAAAGATGTTTCGGGAAAGATGAACAGGTATGTCTTGAATACTGGTTTAATAAACAGAACACGTTGTTTAAACTCTGTCCCTGGTGTCCCTTTGGGTTGAGGCTTCTGAGTCGGCGCAGATTTGGGGATTGTGTGACACCCAAGCGTGACTGGGCAGGCTGTTGATCACTGTGACAGCTGAGCATACCTCTGGGAAGAGTCTTTGAAATCTTCAGTCAATGTCCTTGTCATTAGAGCTCTTAGATATATTCTACTTTTTAATATTTTGGGACCAAGAATTGCATAATAGTCTTACAGACATTTTGAAATGAATGGAAATAAATATTTAAAGTAATGGTAACGGGCTCACATAAGACACTTAGGGAGTAAAATGGCAGTCAGTATAAAAGTCTTTCTGATCATGCTGGAACTGGTTTTTCTCCCTTCACCTTTCTCTGCATCTGTTTTACGTTAAAAACAAAAAAAGGTCAGAAGCTACTATATGGTTAAATTTGATCCATCCGGGATCCCTGCAGTTGGAGGGGTGATTTGTTGGCATGATATAGAATCATTATTTTAAAAAAGCATGCAACATTAGATTTCTAGTAACTTTTTAATGGTTTCTAAATTATTTGCTAAGGTCACAATTTGAAGAACTCTGTGCTGATCTTCTGCAAAAGATAGAAACACCTCTTTATTCACTGATGGAACAAACTCAGCTCAAGCCAGAAGATGTGAGTGCTGTTGAGATCGTTGGAGGCACTACCCGGATTCCAGCTGTGAAAGAAAAAATTGCCAGATTTTTCGGGAAAGATATAAGTACAACACTCAATGCAGATGAAGCAGTAGCAAGAGGATGTGCACTACAGGTACTACGGGAACACATTCCTTAAACAGATGTCACTTTATGGTATCCTGGTGGGTTAATACGGTCATCAGATCCTGTGAAACTGGTAGTGAGACAGAGATGCTCAAATTTGGAAGATGCAACAAATTTAAGATACAAAGAATGAGCTGGTGTTGTGTAAGCTGGGTGTTAGAAGTAGGCCTGACTGATAGGATCACTAAACACAGCTGTAAGGCGCTTACTAGCCAAGTGACTGCTAGTGTAAATTATAGGGGAGAGAATTAGAATGGATTGATTCAGGAAACATTTGCACAGTTAAGAGTATCTGTTAAATGAGTTTAGAAAATGGTTGCTTATCATATAAGAGTGTAACATGAAGTTGCCCTTGGTAAAGCAAATGCACTAAATCCAGATGTATTCAGTTGAAAAGTGCTCAGTTGTACATGAAGTGGAATGGAAATTGGAAGAGCTAATGGATAACAACTGAAATGTGAGTTTGTTTTGGTGCAAGCAATTTTTGAAGTCCATGCATATGTGAAGCGCTTTAAGAAAAGTTTGTGGGAAACGCGTGTTAGGAAAAAAACAGCAGAGGTGAGGTGGTGTCTGTTTTTGTTTTTGTTTTGCTTCAGAAGAAACAACTTTTAACTGAAAAAAAAAAGTACTGGGTTAATATCAAATTAAGTCAGTGCTTTAAAGTTTCAACTTGATATATTTGAGTTTTGATATAGTTAACAGCTTTTTAGCCTAAGAAAGTGGTAAATAAAAGTATTTGGGCTGACTACTCTTTCATACATATAAGAAAAAATTTAGACACTAGTTATTAGTGATGATCTGTTGTGTTGTAATTATCATCGTGTTTAGGGAGGTTTATTTGCTTTTTCCTTCATAATGAAATATGCCTCCCCAAGTGATTCTTGGTTCAGCACAATGTCGGATATTCATCTACTGTTCGGTGGTAAACGTCATTCTGGACTCTTCTGGAGTCTGTGCTAATCACATCAGTTGACTCCCCTTGGTGTGTGTTCAGTGGAGTCCTTTTTATATAACCTTGCACCTGTCTGTCGGATGTTTATCTCACATTTGGATCTGCCTTTGTTCCTTCATACAATTCTTTGAGAAGTAGGAATATTTTACCTTTCTCAGTTTCTGAGGCATTTGTAAAGTGATGTGAATAGAGATTTTTATAGATGTACATACACCTTCAAGAGAGAAGGAACTTGAAATTGCTGTGACTGAGACATTCTGGAAATATCTTTTTCCTAAAGCCACGTTAAAACTTGCTGTTAGTAGTTGGCATCTTAAAACTCAATTTTTCTGATTATAGGATGGCATTTAGTGGATAAATAATGCTGCAGAGAGTAAACAACACAGCATGTTTGTGTGTGTTTAAACATGCTCGTCCCATTAGAGTTGTCTTGTGGCTCATGCTAATCTTTAACATCTTCCCCCCTTCTCGTTTAGTGTGCGATCCTTTCCCCAGCTTTCAAAGTGAGAGAATTTTCTGTCACAGATGCAGTTCCTTTTCCAATATCTCTGGTGTGGAACCATGATTCAGAAGATACTGAAGGGTAAGTAGCAGAAAATATTTTTTAATCACTGTATTTCAAAGTAAAGGAGAAAACTTGTGGTACTGTGATCAGTTTACTGGGCATCTTTAGACACACAACGAAACCTGTCAAGGTCTTTTTGGTTTGGGGATTACAAATGACAGTCTAAGAAGGTCTCCAGTGTTTGGGTAGCACGACAGTTTTAGACCTGCTCTGCTGAGTGCCTTCTGCTCTCCCCTCCAGCGTGCATGAAGTGTTCAGTAAGAACCACGCTGCCCCTTTCTCCAAAGTACTCACCTTCCTGAGGAGGGGGCCTTTCGAGCTGGAAGCTCTCTACTCGGATCCGCAGGCAGTTCCCTATCCAGAAGCAAAGATAGGTAAGGAATTATGAGGGTTGTTTGTTTTGCTTATTTTAAGCCTTTCTTAAAGGCCTAGCTTATTATTCAATGTAGAAACTTTAAAAGTTTTTTCTGTTCTTGGCAGTTCTTGTTCTTTAGAATGATAGCAGTTGAGGTGTATATTCGTTTTATCGATGAGCAAACCATCCGATAAGGATGAAATGACTTGCTAGCTGTGCTGTTACTGTCATAATACATGTGGGGACACGTTAGTATTTTTCTTAATTCTGATGCTGTCTGTGCATAAAGGATGGCCCGTACTTTTAATGTTAACTTTTCTTGAAATTTCATTTGCAGGATACTACTTTCAGCTTAAAACCTGGCTCAGAGATTGCTGTGCAACTGCTTCTCAAATGTACCTTTGTAGTAATCTTTTCTAAAGATAAATATTTTTTGGTACACTTTCCTTTTGCAGACTTAACAGTATGCATATACTTTTACCCACAAGTAACTGTTTTTGTCATTCTGGGACTGAAACTTTTCAGTAGCCCTTTAGGACTCACCCTTGCCCCAGATCCTTTCAGTGGGCCCCACCACCTGGCCAGTTGGGCTTGCTTAATTGCTTACTTACTAAAGACTAAAATGTTGTGACCTGTATAATTGTTGGCTTTTTATTTCAAGATTTATTTATTTTTATTGAAAAGGAAAATTTACACAGGTTGAGAAGACAGTGATAAAGATCTTGGGTCTACTTGTTTACTCCCCAAGTTGCTGCAGATGGCCTGAACTGAGCCCATCCGAAACCAGGAGCCAGGAGCTTTTCTGGGTCTCCCATATAGGTGCAGGGTCCCAAAGTTTTGAGCCGTCCTTCACTGTAGTTGGCATCTTAAAACTCAATTTCCCAGGCTTCATAAACAAGGAGCTGAATGGGAACTGAAGCAGCCAGGACACAAAGCAGCACCTCAGTGGGATATCAGCGCTGGAAGGGGGGAGGTTAGCCAAGTGAGCACTTGGCCCACAAGGTTTTTTTTTTTCTTTTTTTTTTCTGTAATGTTTAATAGTTTGGATTCTTTGCATTAATAATGCTCCATTTTACAGATGATAAAAACCCAAGCTCATTAGTATAGTATATCTATGTGTTCACCAAAGTTAAAAACTTTGTTTTAAAAGTGGACATTTTATAGTTCACTCTTTTGTGAGTGTTCTAGGATCCCTCAGACTAAATGTTATTTCTCTGAATGGGTCATTTGGCAGATAGTTTCTGAGCTGGAGATCAGGTATATTTTCAGGGTCTGTCCCGGTATCTTTTGGGAGCCTGATAGTTAAGCCTGTAACTTTCCGTGTGTTTGCACAGACAACGTCTTACATCCAGGCCAGTAAATCTGATGCAGTGCTTTGTGTACAGTGCGTTCCAAATCTATCTCCCATTCCCTGAGCCATTCCACACATGTCCTCAATGGGCAGAATTGAGCTAATCTGCAGCCAGGGGCCTCCTCTTGGTATTCAACTAGGGTGCAGGAGTCCAAGGATTTGAGCTATCCTCTGCTGCTTTCCCAGTCCATAAGCAGGGTGCTAGATTAGAAGGGAACAGCTGGGAATCAGTATGGGATGTGAGTGCTAACAGGTAGATGATTAGCCTGCTGAGACACTTCATTGGTTCCAGTTCGTTCATTCTTGGTAAGTATGGGTGAGTTAGTGTGGGGCAGGTCCCTCAGCTAGGAGCATAAGCCCAGACACTGTTTATGCACTTTAGCTTACTCGGTAACACATTGGAACCATTTCGTGACAAAGAGTAATTTCAGACATTGGGTTGAAAGTTTGGCACACATCCCTTATTTAAAGCTTAAGTCAAAAAATATTTTAATTATATAACCAAAAGAATAGTATTTTATTAAAAGGTTTTCTAAAACTAAAATCCATTGTATTTGCTAGTATATTTCCATGTATGGTTTGTGCTTTCCTTTTTTTTTTTTTTTTTTTTCAGTTGCTTTTTAAAACCCAAAGCTTTGAGCCATCCTCTGCTGCTTTCCCAGGCTGCGAGCAGGGAGCAGCTAGATGGGAAGTGAAGCAGCCAGGGTATGAATCGTTGCCCATATGGGATCCTGGCGCATGCAAAGCGAGGACTTAGTCACTAGGCTATCATGCTAGGCCCAAGTTTATGCTTTTCTATTTGCAAAAATAGGGTAGAAATAATAAAGATTGTTTTTGTCAGTATGTTACATACTGGCAAAATGTTTAACAAGACCATTAACAGCAGTGTCTTCGCCTTTTAAGGATTATTTTAATGGCAAGGCAGATTTACAGAGAGTAGGAGACAGAAAAATCCTCAGTCTGCTGGTTCACTCCCCAAGTGGCCACAACAGCCAGAGCTAAGCCGATCTAAAGTCAGGAGCCAGGAGTTTCCTCCAGGTCTCCCACGTGGGTGCAAGGTCCCAAGGCTTTGGGCTGCCCTCGACTTCTTTCCCAGGCCACAAGCAGAGAGCTGGATGGGAAGTGGAGCAGCCAGGTTTAGAACCAGGGCCCATATGGGATCCTGGTGTGTTCAAGGCGAGGACTTTAGCCACGAGGCTACAGTGCCAGACCCTAAGATTACTTCTAAAGATTATTCAAATTATTTTAGGACCTTATAGTAAAAACGAGTGGACCTTAAGTTTAAAATAGGGAGGATTTAGAATTGCGGTATTTTCAAGCTTTATGTTTTTGTTTTTGTTTTCTTATCTCTTTTACTAAAGTTTATGTTAAATTTTAAAATGGTTAACTTGTTTTTGTCCTAGGCCGTTTCATAGTGCAGAATGTTTCTGCACAGAAGGATGGAGAAAAATCTAGAGTGAAAGTCAAAGTCCGTGTCAACACCCACGGCATCTTCACCATCTCCACGGCGTCCATGGTGGAGAAAGTCCCTGCCGAGGACAGTGAAGCGTCTTGTGTGGAAGCAGACATGGACTGTCCCAATCAGAGGTCCCTGGAGAACCCAGACAGTGACGTAAGTGTGTGGGAATGCCTTCCCCTGCGCATAGATTGACTTAGAACTGAGCTGTGGAAGCACAGGCAAGGGGCAGAATGTCTAGAGATAATTCTTACTGAAATTTTGATTAAAGATAATAAGTTCTTACCAGTTACTGGTAACATGTAACTTGGAATGTAGTGAATTTTGATTAGATTCTCTGGAACTGCATTTTGGGTAACTTGTTTATGACAATTTAGTTTTTTTTTTTTAAAGTTGTGTATTACATATTGGAGTTAAATATTACAACTAAAAAAGTTACTTCATCTGATGAAATAATTGAAATATTAAAGCTGATTTCTCTGTTACTTTATGGCAGAATTGGCTCTGGTGCTTCCAACTTGTTTTTATTTGCATGATTTTCTATATTGTGAGAGGCAGAGAGGAAAGGGTCTATTTAGACAAGAGCTGTTGCTTATCTTATTTTAGACTCCGTTAGTGTGAGTGCTGGTTCTGTGTGGTCAACAGAAGAATTTTAGGAAGCTAACTGTTTATTGCAGTGACTGTAGTTTATTTCTGGAAGTTAGAAATAGCTTAAATGAACAGCCAGGCAAGGATAGTGTTTCAGTTAAGATGCGGAAGTGTTTGGTATGCCGTGGTCACTTATTCCTAGAACATTGAAGCAATATTAACATTCTGATATTAATATCACCTTTTATTCTGAACTACAGAAAGTTTTCAGTGTGGTGAGCTAAATGAACAGTGCCCGTGCACTTTCAGTCTCTTAATTCCTTAGGGACAAGAGGAATGCTTTGCTTCTGACTGCTTCAGGGTCTGCTTTAGGATATTGAAACGTACCTACTGCTTCTAGCAGTTAACTTGGGATGGTTCTGACTTCTCAGAAAATGGGAGGAGCTTGGAACAAGCGCTAATGTGTTGAGCACTGAGGACTATTAAAGAAAAGCAGAAAACTTTCAGAGTTCATTTTGCTTTACTTTCTTTACCAGGTTTGTAATTAGAATTGGTGTGTAGCATTTATTCTTTACTACGTGCTCCTGTAAAGTGTAAATAGTTGGATCACAAAAGGAAAGTGGGACAGTGAGGAGGGATTTAATTATCTCAAAGCTGAAATGATGGCCGTTTTAAACAACTGTTCAGTGAGTTGAAAGGGAGATAGGTCAGGATGCATGGCAGCTGGTGGTGAAACTAGGTTTTGGAAACTTGTTTTGGGGAAGAGGCCTGATGTGTTAACCTCCTGTGCTTTTGACAGTTAATATTTATACGATTAGGTAGAAGTGTCTTAACGGAGAGTTCTTGATTGTCACCACGTCATTCAAATGCCTATTTGTATAACTTATTTAACTGCTATCATTCACAACATTTTTTACAGGTTTCAAATTTCTAAGAAGTTTTCAAGTATTTTATAATCATTTGCTTTTATCCCGTACCTTTTCTCCCCAACTATTAAAATTTCAGAAATTGAGTGTACTGTCTTTGGTGCCCTATAACTTTTTAAATTTATACAAGTACACCTGCTTTCTACATCCTTTGTGCCTGGGCTTTCATTTCAGAAAAATATCCAGCAAGACAACAGTGAAGCTGGAACACAGCCCCAGGTACAAACTGATGCTCAGCAAACCTCACAGTCTCCCCCTTCACCTGAACTTACCTCAGAAGAAAACAAAATCCCAGATGCTGACAAAGTGAGTGACTCTTCTAGTTCATTCCATTAGACAATGTTGCAACATGTAATCGTTAATGATATCATTAAATCTGCAGTTTCAAGAGAAAGCACCAAGTGATTTTATTCTACGTAGCTTTTTTTTTTCTGTTAATTTTCTATGTGTTTTTTAATGAAAACCAGTTTAGAGGTACTGAAGCTCAACTGAAGGGAATTGCATATCCTGCTTTAGGCCTGGAAGCTTCTCTTGATTAACTGCCACTCCAAGTAATAAGAGTCGAACGTGTAGTTTGTCCTCATCTGAAAGGGCAGAGGTATCTGCCTGTGCCCGAGGGGAAATGATACATCCTAGTGCTGCCTGATTAGCTTTCACTTCAGTTAATCAGATGATAAATACATGGGCTATAGGAGTCTAGTACACTTCTCTCTCTGGTCAAGCCATCTGTCAAATTTAAGTAAATTATTATACTCTGATCAAAAATCTGATTGCATTTCAAAGTAATTTCTTTTGTCTCGCTTCCATAATAGGTATTGGAAGCTGAATTAAAAAGTGATGTTGTGTCCCTTGAAAATTGACAGTTTCTAATCAAATCTTTAGGGTTTCTGGTCAAATGATACTTAGAAGTTGCTCTTCAATGTATATGTTGCAGGACTTTTGTTTTCTTACAAGTAGCAAGTAAGTTATTAATCTGTTGGTAATTCAGCTTTCTCTTAGTTTCTTTGTCCTCAGGTGAATTACAGAATAGTTATGGTTAGAATGGAATTTCACACTAGGTAGAATTTTCTAATGTTTTAACTTGGTTTGTTCTGATTGACCCTGTGGGGCTCCTAAGGTGAGCCTTAGGTTCTAATCCTGATTTCTGAAAGCTGCCTTCGTATTTATTATGATCATTGTTATGAGTTAGAAAACAGCTTCTTGTTTTTGGTAACACTCCCCTCGATGATGGGTTGAACATGTACTAACTTGTGCTGCATAACAGTGGATAGAAACTCAGTCTTTTGGTTAGCAAGCCTGAGGCCCTTTGGAACCTGATCTTACGCTTCTGGAAGGTCCATCCGTGTTTGAGTGCTGTTTTGTGATTGGTTTTCATCACTACTTGGTGTGATTATTTTAACTGCCATGCATGTGCAGTGCCATGCATCTGTTTTGTCCCTCGAGTATCTGTCACACTCCCGTGTCTTGCTAGGTGTAGGAATCATCTGGTTCATTTTCTTGCCTTGTGGATCGCACCCTCAGAGCCTGCTCACTGTGCTGGAGGGCTCTTGTGCACTAAAACGAAGGACAAGGAACTGCACACGGAGTAGATCATTACCGAGTCAGGTTACAGCGCTTGGCAGATCTGTGCTTTGATTCCAAAACACAGTGCAATGCAACTCAGGAGACATGCATCCCACTTCTATCTCTGTAACTGTAGACAGGTTATTTTAGTCCCATTTCTTTGGTGAATTAAGTGCTTAGAATTTTAATATCCTTTGTAACTTAGATTACACAATGGTAGAGATAGTTTGTGCTTTAACCAAATAGTCTCCTCCCGTTTTTCCATTCTAGGAAATGAAGATTCACGTTTCACACTTTATGGTCTAATATGTTGGATCTCCTTGATTGTGTGTGTTTGTGCTGGTTGTAATTTCTGCAATGGAAATATGTAGAATAGATTCAGAAAATTGAAGGCCACAGGAGATACTTACTTCTTTAGCCCTGTATTTACATAAGTTGAAAAATCTGTAATAAACTAGAGGTTGAATATCCCCCATCTAAAGCACTTGAGACTCAGAAGTGTTTCAGATTTCACGTTATTTGCATATAATTGCGAGACATCTTAAGGATGGGACCCAAGCCTACAGGTGTAATTCATTGGTGTTTCTTATCCTTTCCACACACATAAGCTGAAGAGAATTTGATACGGTATTTCACAGTGCCTATATTTTGACTGTGACATGTCTCGGTAGGTCAGATGTGGAATTTTTCCACTTCCTTGTCAAGTCAGCCCTGAAAGTTTGGTTTTTGGGAAGAGATGCTCAACCTCTATAAGTGTTTGCTGCATCTTTCCATTTTAGACTTTAAGACTCTTTGCTCTTTTTACCCTTCAGAGCTGCTTATGAGGAATGATGCATTCAAAGACAAATCAAGGAAAATGTGCTCGTGTGTGTGTGTGTTCTGTTTATGTCATTTCCAAATGTGATAGAAAAGTGTGAAGATACTCATCAGGGTCATGCTAATGCAATTAGAGCAGGCATAATAACTGGGATATAGGAACCAAAACATCTGTTAAAGAAATTGATTTAATCTTAACGTTTTTTAGCATTGATCAACATCTGTCTTAGGTTATTGTCTGATTCTAAACATGAGAATATGGAGAATTTTGACCTTCTGAATTTTGGGATTGACAAACATGTTTGAAGGAATTGGGAATTAAAGATCTAAAATGAAAGACGGTGCGGTGGGGACTTAAGTTTGATATTATAAATACCCTGATGAGTTCTGGAATGAAATTACATCATTTAAATTTAACTGCAACCTTGATTTAAAATGAGCAGTGAAAACTGCCACATTTCTGCTCTATGATTTTAGGGATTTTATTTGCCTAAGTCAGTAAGTATGCTAGGGAGGATTTTTTTTTTTTTTTTTTTGCTTGTTTGTCAAGAATTGTTTAGAAATTTCTCCATTTGTGTTTTTACTCTCCTTCCTTAAGGCAAATGAAAAGAAAGTTGACCAGCCTCCAGAAGCTAAGAAACCCAAAATAAAGGTGGTGAATGTTGAGCTACCTGTTGAAGCAAACTTGGTCTGGCAGTTAGGGAAAGATCTCCTTAACATGTATATTGAGACAGAGGTAAGTACTTAAATACAAAAATTTAAATATGGGATATACTTTTGTTCTTGACCCTGTCACCTGTATTTTCAGTAGTTCATAGCTGTAATTCTGACCTATGCGGGATACGTGCAATAGTTTGTCCTGGTTGTAAAATGGCCAGGTTCTTTTGAGGGAATTAAGTGGCAGAGTATTTCAGCTAGAGCACTGAGCAGTGGCAGCTCACTTGTTCAGTTCATAGTCCTGCCCTGACATTCCCTAGATTTCCGAAGTTAGGGGCCACTCCACCCGTAAAGTACATTGTGCTATTTTGTAACCTGGAATTCTAAATAACATAGGAAGTACTTGGGATTTTGTTTTCTTTACCGAGATGGAAACATTATGCTCATACATTTACTGGTAAATTATTTTATCCATCTATTTATCCTTAATTTAAAAATATGGTAGTAAAGTTGTATGACTATTACATATTAACCAATGTTAGCTCCATTTTGAAGCAAACATGCAACTACAGATCTGAAAACAGATTTATATTTAAACCCTGGATTGACTTAAATGTTTTACTTATTGTTAAACCAGAATATAAACACCACGTAATTTGTTATGTAATGTTAAAAATAAACAACTTCAGTATATATATTTAGAAAATGATTTTATAGAAGTCTTATGGACCCTTAACTAGTTTGTGTGTGAACATTGATTTTTTTTTTTTAACCCTGGATTCTAAATAGTTAAAACTTAGTTTGAGATGTTCAAAGATTGATACAACCTTTATTGCTTCCTTACAGGGTAAGATGATAATGCAAGATAAATTGGAGAAGGAAAGAAATGATGCTAAAAATGCAGTGGAGGAATATGTGTATGAGTTCAGGGACAAGTTGTGTGGACCATATGAAAAATTTATATGTGAGCAGGTATGTTTCAGAGCTTTGTTTTACTCGGGCAATCTCATGTAAAATGCTTAATAATCCAAGGTAGCATTCAAGCGTTGCATAAATTGGACTTTGAAAAAAATTATATCAACAAAGTCATGGAGAGAGGTGTAACTAAGTATAGCATCATGATTCTGCAGGACCAAAAATAAAGAAATTTCTGCTTTCAAAGATCTCAGACTTTTTTTGTTAAGATTTTTTTTTTTTTTTATTGGAAAGTCAGATGTACAGAGAGGAGAGACGGAGAGCAAGATCTTCCATTCATTAATTCACTCCCCAAGGGACCGCAACAGCTGGAGCTGCACTGATCTGAAGCCAGGAGCCTAGGTCCTCCTCCAGGTCTCCCACATGGGTGCAAGGCCCCAGGGCTTTGGGCCGTCCTCAACTGCTTTCCCAGGCCACAAGCAGGGAGCTGGATGGGAAGTGAGGCCACTGGGACACAAAGTAGCACCCAAATGGAATCCTGGTGCGTGGGAAGTAAGGACTTTAGCTATGGCACTGGGCCCTCAGACTTAGCTTTTTAACTCTTGAAAATGTTTCTATTTCTTGGCAAGTGTTGCAGTACAGGCTAAACTGCTGCTGTGTCACTAGCATCCACTTTCACGATGCTTGTCGGTTTGCTCCTAATCCACACTGTGCTAACTACATGGCAATACAGCAGAGGATGACTTACGGGCCAGGGCTCCTGCTACCCGTGTTGGAGACTAGGATGTAGTTCCTGTCTGCTGGTGTTGGTTTGGCCCAAACCCAGATGTTGTATGCATTTGGGAAGTGAACCAGAGGAGGGAAGATAACTGTTGTCACTCCCCTTTCCTTGTTACTCTTTCTATTAAATATCTGGAAGATAAATTTGCTTACATTCTATTTGAAAGACAGAGGGATACAAAGAAATACATAGAGTGGCATCTTAGATTGGCTGGTTCACTTCCCAAGTACCTGCAACAGTCCTGGCCAGGTCAGGCTGAAACCTGGAGCTTTGGAACTCAGTTTGCATCTCCCTCATGGATAACAGGGACTGAAGTATTTGTGCCTTTCATGATTTTTTGCCTTCCTAGGGTACTCATTTGCAGGAACTTGGGAGGCCTAACACATCTTAGCCACTGAACTGCATGTTTGCCCCCTTGGTTTTGTTTTTTAATGAGATTGCTCTCTTGGGAACATTTTGTCAGTGTTTTGACTCATAATACTCCTTCGGCCAGTCTTGGCAGACTTCATCGAGCAGTTGCTCTGTTCATCCCCCTCTGTTCAATGTTACGTGGAGCTACTCGGTAGCAGCTGCAGTCCTGTTCGCCTGAGACGGCACCTCTGAGTGAGGGTGGCTCTGGTTGGTAAAGCCTCTGAAGCAGAATTTCTGCTAATGCTTTTATGTTTCATGTAAAGGACCATCAGAATTTCTTGAGACTCCTCACAGAGACTGAAGACTGGCTCTATGAAGAAGGCGAGGACCAAGCTAAGCAAGCATATGTCGACAAGTTGGAAGAATTAATGGTAGGCCCTTGTTTCTCCTGTACCTAAAACTACAGGTTTTAAAAATAGAATCACTACAGCTAGTTCTTTGTTGCATTTTAGAAAATTGGCACTCCAGTTAAAGTCCGATTTCAAGAAGCTGAAGAAAGGCCAAAAATGTTTGAAGAGCTGGGGCAGAGGCTGCAACACTATGCCAAGATAGCAGCTGACTTCCGAAACAAGGTGAGCCGGACTGTTTGTATATGTTGAGGAAGTCAGCCTAGATATTTAATGAACTGACATTGGAGGTGTTTTTAGTCATGAATAAATAAGTCTAAGTGAGAGATTTGGCTGATAAGAAGGAGGTACATTTGTAGGTCACAGAAATTTGGGTTGAATTACATGTGTCTGTTAAAAACTTAATTCTATAGAATGACTATGGTTCTGTTTAGGATGAGAAATACAACCATATTGATGAGTCTGAAATGAAGAAGGTGGAGAAATCTGTAAATGAGGTGATGGAGTGGATGAATAACATTATGAATGCTCAAGCTAAAAAAAGTCTGGATCAGGATCCAGTGGTGCGTGCTCAGGAAATTAAAGCAAAAATCAAGGTGAGCAGCCTCTGTGTCGTGTGTCTGCTGGGTTTCCTCCCAGGCTGAAGTTGATAGCCATTCGGACCTTGTACACGGTCCCTTCCCGTCCTTTCATCTTATCCTTACGTGAAATGGCTTTCTTTTCTTTTTCTTTTTTTTTTTTTTGTTTGTTTGTTTTGTTTTTGTTTTAAGATTTATTTTTATTATTTTTTATTGGAAAGGCAGATATACAGAGAGGAGAGACAGAGAGGAAGATCTTCCATCCGATGATTCATTCCCCAAGTGAGCGCAACGGCCGATACTATGCTGATCCGAAGCCAGGAGCCTCTTCCGGGTCTCCCACGCGGGTGCAGGGTCCCAAAGCTTTGGGCTGTCCTCCGCTGCCTTCCCAGGCCACAGGCAGGGAGCTGGAAGGGAAGCGGGGCTGCCGGGCTTAGAACCGGCGCCCATATGGGATCCCGGGCGTGCAAGGCGAGGACCTTTAACCACTTGCGCCATGGCGCCGGGCCTGAAATGGCTTTCTTAATGTTCATTAATTGCTACCACAAAATATCAGAGACATTGGGAGTTTGTTACATTTTCATTTATTTAATGGAACACACAAATTGGTTGAACTCCGATCATGTGCCAGCACTTGCTCTTTGTACACAGTTTCTGCCCCTATGGAACTCACATTTTAGTGAGAGGGATATGAGCAATATAGGAGTATGTGTTCTTCATCAAATGGAGTTGGTGTGAAGTACCGTGGGGGAAAATGAAGTAGGGCAAAAGGGGCATAGGGACTGTTGTGGAGAGGAAGTGTTGTGCTCAGAGATGGCTCTGCTGGTGTGTGAGGCTTGAAGGAAATTCCCAAGTACCTTCCCTCTGGAATAACACTGAAACACCAGGAAGAGTTAAGGAAAAGTAGGCCTTTTGAATTCTAACTTTCTGCTCTTTAGTTTGACTTGCCTTGAAACTATTTAATCTTTGTACCATTTCTCTCTCTGATAAAGTGGGAGTTTATAATACTTACCCGTTAAGATTATAAGGTAAAGTGAGATCTTCAAAAAGATGGGCCAGCATTGAGGTGTAATTAGTTAGTTACCACATGTTTTGCTGGCATCCCTTTCAATTCCTGGGTGCTCCTCTTTTGATCCAGCTGTCTGCCAATGTACCTGGGAAAGAGCAGAGGTCAGCCCAAGTCCTTGGGAAACCAGGATAGAACCTCCTGCCTCATGGCTTTTTGGTCTGGCTCAGCCATGATCATTGCAGCCAGTTGAGGCATGAGCAAGTGGATAGAAGATTGATCTCTTCATCTCTCTTCTTTGTGTTGACGTCTGCCTTTCAAATAAACTTTAATAAAAAGTTTCATAGACGTTTATAATAAAAAGCTTTGCATGGATTTCAAAATAAACCTTTACTTAAGTACCTAGCAAATCCTTGAGATGTTGTACATCTGTCATTACCTTTCTCAGGCTTCATAAAATGAAACTCTGCAGTGCAGAGTGGGAGTAGGTGTAAACGTTGGGTTACATTTTCAATGTATTCGGAAGTAGCTGAAGATGAACTGCATGGATCTGAGTTAATCTGGTGGTTTGTTTTGTTTTTAGGAGCTGAACAATTCTTGTGAACCCATTGTAACACAGCCTAAACCAAAAATTGAATCACCTAAACTGGAAAGAACTCCTAATGGCCCAAATATTGATAAAAAGGAAGAAGATTTAGAAGGCAAAAATAATTTTGGTGCTGAACCTCCACATCAGAATGGGGAGTGCTACCCTAATGAGAAGAGTTCAGTTAATATGGACTTGGACTAGATAACATTAAGTTGGCTTATTCTTTCAATTAATAAGATATTTTTGCCATAGTATGTGACTCTACATAACATACTGAGACTATTTATATTTTCTTTTCTAAGAATGTTTAGAAATTTTGTGTATTATACGGAAAAAAGAAAAAAGCTTAAGGTCTGTTGTCTTTTTGATCCTAAAAGGGAAGATTGCCTTGGTGACTTTCAGATTCCTGTGGAATTGTGACTTCATACCAAGCTTTTGTGCAGTGTTAATCATTTGCATCACTGAGGATGAAATTGACTTCTGTCTTGGAGAATAGAACCAAACTGTACTGCTTGTTCAAGAGGGTTGTGACAAATCTTTAAAGCATTTGTTCTTGCCAAGGTAGTTTTCTTGTATTTTGCTCTTCATTGTAGCATGTGTGTGGTATGGATGTTTGTAAAACAAGACTAAGTCTGATTTCATAAGGGCTTTCTAAAAGTAATTCTGTCCAATAGACTATAACTTTTTGCTTTGACATTGTTAAAGAAATTCATTGAGTAAAACAAAAGCTAGTGAAATATGTTAGCAGCATGCAGAACAAAAAAAAAAAACTTTAAAATTGTATCTCACTATCCATTGCATTGTCATGTGAAGATGTGGAAAAGAAGAAATGTTGATCTTGTACCTGATGGTGAAAACGTGATGAGCTTTAAAATAAAGTTCATCTTAAGGTGTCATTTCTAAACGATCGGCTTTGTCACTGATTTAAAACTGGAATGGGGAATGATTAGTAGTTACAACAGAAGTGATATTGAATGTGAAAAATCCAGTTTTCCTTTTTAGCTGTTTTACATATTCTCTTTTCTAAATGAAAATAGCTTTTGATAGAGAAGGAGCATATGCTTATTTTTTTTTGTTGTTTTTAAAGATTTTATTTATTGGAAAGTCAGATATAAAGAGAGGAGGAGAGGCAGAGCAGAAGATCTTCCATCCGATGATTCACTCCCCAAGTGAGCGCGACGGCCGATGTTCTGCCGATCCAAAGGCAGGATCCTGGAACTTCTTCCGGGTCTCCCACACGGGTGCAAGGTCCCAAGGCTTTGGACCGTCCTCGACTGTTTGTGTTTGTGTATGGGAGTATGTGAAAATGTTATATTTTGACTTTTTTTTTTATTAACTCCCACACACTGTAAGTGGCCAGGGCTGGGCTGAGGCAGGGAGCTGTGAGTTCTGAACCTCTTGCCCTGAGAAGCTGGGATCAGTAGCCAGAGCTGGAGCTGGAGCCCAGATGGTCTGATTAGGGAAGCAGGTGTGTTCATTGCTAGGCCAGCTGCCTACACCCCACTCCCTGGTTTTTTTTTTTTTTTTTTTTTTTAAATAATAGGGTCTTTAAGTAGACGCAGTCAGATGCTGTGGCTTCACAGCTTTGGTGAAATTCCATTGTAAAAGACGGACACAAAAATGTAGCTGGTGCCATTCTTGGGCTATAACAGTTCTCACGTTTTGCTGTTCTAAGGAATGTTGCACTGCGTGTTAATCTGTTATTTCCTGATACACATTGTAATGTTGGGTTGAGGAGAAGTCGGAGCCTTTAACACAGAGGGCCACGGTGCCCACCACGATACAACAATTCATGCTGCTTCCAAGGGAACAGTTTACCCTCTCGAACTGGAGCCATTCTTTAAATAATAACTGCTATTTATTTATTAAGAACAGGTACTTCACAAAGAGGGGAACTCAACTTCAGAGCAACCCACAAGCTTTAGGAATTTCCCAGGCAACACAGGCAGTGTCAGAGTTGAAGAGTGAAACCTCAGCAATCCAATCGCTCAGAAGGCAAAGCTCACACTCAGAACAATCCTGAAGCAGCTAATGTGCCATTTGTGTCTTGCGTGTACCTCACCATTTTAAAGTTTGTATTTTCCGTGAGCTACAGTCAGGCTTCTCAATTTGTGAATGTTTATATGACGTTAATGATCTTATCCCTTTCATTTCCCACTGTATAATTTCTTTCCACTTTGTCTTACCATTTAGAAACTTTAAGTTTGTATCTAACTTGCAGATTTTCTTACATTTTCAATTTTTTAATGCAGACAAGCGTACATTCAGTATTTCCGTTGAGATGTGAAGCTGGCTTAATATGTCTGCAGTCGGGAGGACATTTATGTATTATTGGAAAAGCAGATCTGCAGAAAGGAGGAGAAAGATCTTTCACCTGATGGTTCACTCCCTAAGTGGCCCCAATGGCCAGAGCTGAGCCGATCGGGAGCTTCTTCCAGGTCTCCCACACAGGTGCAGGGCCCTAAGACTTTGGGACATCCTCAACTGCTTTTGCAGACCATAAGCAGGGAGCTGCATGGGAAGTGGAGCGGCTGGGATACAAACCAGTGCCCATGTGGGATCCTGAAGGATAGAGCCACTATGCTGCTGTACCAGGCCTGGGAAGATCATTAAAGCAAAAGATAAGAGGAATAGGTCTTAAGAATATGAATTCCAGAACTTCTTTTTAAGGAAATAGGGTGGCTGCTATTGAATTATAAAACTTCTATCCCAAAATAGAACCTGATGATAGTGAAGAAAGTGTTTTTTAAAAATAAAATGTCAGATCTGTTGAATGCTTAGTTTAGAAATGTTAGAAATTTTTGTGCTGTCACTACAGAGAAATCAGTATTTCACAAAATAACACATTTTGGAAACTTCCAAACTCCCATGTTGTGATGTGAAGAAAATTACTATATGATACATACAAATGGGACTGGCATTGTGGCATAGGGTGTCCTGGTCACACTGCTTCAAATCCAGTTCTCTGCTGATGGTGTCCAAGAGGGCAGTGCAAGGTGGTACAATCCCTTGGGCCCTTGCCACCACATGAGAGACCATCTTGGAGTCTCTGGCTGCTGACTTTGTTCTGATCCAGATCTTGCTGTTGCAGCCATTTGTACAGTGAACCAGCAGATGGAAAATCTCTGATTTCAGCGCTGCTCCTTCCTGCCCCTTCTCTTGATACACGTTTCAAATTTTGAAAACAAAGTGTGCTATTGGCTCAAGCAGTTGGGATATAGGTGTAGCACTCAACATAAAGCCCCTAGGACATGTACCAGTAAATGCCATGTTTGGGTTTTATGTTTCATTTTCCCCCAGATTGTCACTTTAGTGGCAGTATTTCTTTTTTTTTTTTTTTTAAAGATTTATTTATTTATTGGAAAGTCAGATATACAGAGAGAAGGAGAGACAGAGGAAGATCTTCTGTCCGATGATTCACTCCCCAAGTGAGCCCAACGGCCGGTGCTATGCTGATCCAAAGGCAGGATCCAGGAACTTCTTTCTGGGTCTCCCACACGGGTGCAAGGTCCCAAGGCTTTGGACCGGCCTTGACTGCTTTCCCAGGCTACAAGCAGGGAGCTGGATAGGAAGTGGAGCTGCCGGGATTAAAACCGGCACCCACATGGGATCGTGGCAAGTTCAAGGCAAAGACTTTAGCCACTAGGCCACGCTGCCAGGCCCTAGTGGCAATATTTCTAAAAATGACTGGTGGTTCTAATCACTTAAGTGAACAGAGGTGGATTTTGAGCATAGTTTCTTTGAAAGGTTGGTTATATACACCCAAACGTCACTTGGCTTAATTTTCCTGGGTAAAATCCCTTAGTGTTTACTTGGATTTTATTCTTGATTCAACAAAAGGAGATTGGGACCTGTGTTTCATGTAGTGGCTAGAATGTACTTATGCCACATAAGAGCAACTGGGTTTGATATGGAGTGTTTTTAAGAAATTTTTTTTCTTAAAGATTTATTTATTTATTGGAAAGTCAGATATACAGAGAGAAGGAGAGACAGAGAGGAAGATCTTCCGTCCGATGATTCACTCCCCAAGTGAGCGCAATGGCTGATGCTATGCTGATCCAAAGCCAGGATCCAGGAACCTCTTCTGGGTCTCCCACGCAGGTCCCAAAGCTTTGGGCCTTCCTCAACTGCTTTCCTGGGCCACAAGCAGGGAGCTGGATGGGAAGTGGGGCAGCTGGGATTAGAACTAGCATGGTGCCAACATCCGTTTGGATGTTGATTCAAGTCCTAGTTGCTCCATTTCCACATCCAGCTCCTTGCTATTGTGCTTCAGAAAGCAGTGGAAAATGACCCGTGTGCTTGACCCACATGGCAGACTTGAAAGAAGCTCCTGGCTCCTGGCTTCCTCAGGGCCCAGCCCTGGACATTGTAGAGCACCTGAAATATGAACTGGCGCCCATATGGGATGCTGGCACTTGCAGGCAGAGGATTAGCCAGTTGAGCATCCTGCTAGCCCAGGAGTGTGGCTTTTAAAACAGCAAGCAGGATGGATTTTCCTTCCAGCGTGGTGAACTGCAGCTGCTACGGTTAAATGGAAGCCCTGAGATTATTCATTATTGCTGGGTGTCCAGGGCTGCCTCTTTGCTGCCTACTTCTGGGCTTGGGAACATTTTGAAAGGTAAGAGGTGCCCTTTATGTCTGTGGAGAATCATCATAATTTCAGAGTCAAGGAGGTGGCAAAAATATTTTCCCATCCCATAGATGTAGTGTAAAGAGTTGTGTGTTATTTGGTTTGCCAAGGGTACCATAAATCACACACACACACACACTGTTTAATATTGATTTGGGAACAATCGGGGAGCATTTCAAAAGAAACGACACGTGACATGGAAACGATGGGTGTATTCAAAGGATGCAGGTGATGGGAAATTTGCACAGTAAAGAAGATGCCATGTGCTATTTTGAAACAGTGCATGGCCACAGCAGTATTCACTTGCAGGAGTATCTTCTGTGCCACGTTGTACTGACCTTTGTGCAGGGTTCTGGTCTGGCTAGCAGGCACATTGCATGAGATCCCCAGCTCCTGGTGTTACTTATTATTTGTTATTATTTGGTTAGGGCTTGACACAAGCAATTTCATTCTGATAATATTCTCACTAAGAAAATATCTGTCAAATAATAGCCAATACTAAAGGAGCAGTCTTTAACACTTGTGCTTGTTCTTCAGAAAGCCTGAGTAAGTGCCCCATATCTTAACCAGGCACCCTCAGACAACACGGACTGTCCCCCATCCAGACGCTGCTTGTCAACACCAGGCTCTTACTGGCTCCCAACTGTCCCCCCGAATGTCCTTTGCATCTATCATTTTCATCCAAGTGGCTGCAATGACTGGAGCTGAGCCACATGAAGAGAGGACACACTCTACTGTGTCTGCCTCATTTTGTCTCATTAGTAATAGGGTTCAAAGTGGGTGATTTACAGCAACAATATCGGACCCGTTACAAGAAGCATAAAATAGTGCACCTGGGATTCCAGAGCATGGGACTCTTCTCCGGTGTCCTTGCTTCCTGCACAGGGTGGGAGACTCGGCCACATGACACACCTGCCTCCCTGAGTCAAGGGGTCTCAGGAAAGCTTGTGATGGGTGCCCACCTGGGAGCAACCTGGACCCAGGAATGAGCTTTGGAAGAACATGGCAACTGCCATTCTAACCACAAGTGAGTATAAGAACCCTTGTTAAAACCAGGGAGTGCTGCTGTCAGGAGAAGCCAAGGTGCTGGGTTAAGTTACTATCTGAGATACCAGCATTCCTTACCAAAGCTATTTGGAGTCCCAGCTGCTTCACTTATGGCCCAGCTCCCTGCTGATGCTCCAAGAAAGCAGTGGACAAATGGCCCCACAGCTCAGGATCCTGTCCCCCATGAGTGAAACCCAGATGGAGTTCCAGAATTCTAGTTTCAGCCT